AAATGAGAAATCTGAACAAAACAAATGATTATACTAACATAAACTTGATAGGAGAATGAAAATAAATTATAGAAGACCAATGTAAACATAAACATGATATAAATCTAAATAAAAGGTTATATTTCACAACAACCAGATCTTACCAACACAAGCCACGGAAATTATATGAACATTATTACGGTAAATGAAACAGCAGCTTAAAGAGGGTGTATTCGAAGAATAAAACAAAAATAATATACTAATATCTGAATTTATATATAGTGCCCATTCCCCCTTCCTTCTTTACTGAAGTTCGACAGTGCTTAAAAACAGTTCTATGGAAAAAGCTAAGTTGGAATTGAGAAGGAGGGGTTCAGGATTGAGAATATATAATTGGGAAAAAATCTAATAAACTTGCTACTCTACAACCTATCAAATCTTATGTGACAAAAAAATGTGATGCCCATATTTAGGTGTAAATAATATGACATAATTGTGCCTATACATATAAATGAGTACTGTACATTACACACAAATTTGTCACATCAAATTTTATCTTCAAGTATTAAGAAATTCAAATATTGATTTTATTGTTCAAGTAGGCCTAAATTATACCGACAGTTATTTCAAGAGATTTAAAATCTTAAGCTCATCGAAATAAGCTCATCTTGAAATGCAAGCACCAATTGAGACACTTTAAATAATTTCCCGATATAGGCAAACAAACTGAAGATCACAAAGTACAGTAACCGCAGATCAAATAACACGTCAAAATATTCAATAAACGATGAATATTTCACTGACTCTAATTGCATTTCACTCATTAGCACAATAATACGTGGAAAGAGAGCACGCATACGAGAATATTGATTTTGTTGTATCAACGACGTTGGGCAGAAATTGACACAATGTAATAAGGTGGAGTACTCTCAGTCCTGTTCAATCAAGTGAACAATCTACACTTCCGTACAATTAGCAATTCAGATGATCATAAACCAATTGAGAAAGTAACTAAATATTCAATAAACTATGAAATAATTAAAGGGCATTAACTTTCTTTCCATTAAACTAATATTAGGCAGTTTAGCTATTGTTACACAACTCTAGTATGAATTTCGAATTCTGACTGGATGTTATATTCCTAATCCAATCTAATATAATGAAGTATCTAGAATTAGGAATTCATTTTAAACTGGTGTTTATACAATGAGCTACTTTCGCATTGCAACACACAGCCTACACTACACATTACCCTAGTCATTGGAACAAACACCTACTGTGTATTTACTGTACACCTACTGTATAACATATACAGTCTACTTTGGCAACAGGGTCAGAGTTACAGGTATGATTGGGGTAATGCCTTCCCTGCCTGCACTGGAATAAAAAACTTAAAGAGTGGAAAATACTTGAAACCAATTCTTTTTCTGCCAACTATAAAGATAGTTTATTTATAACTTACTACTGTACTGAAATGAAAATAACAATTGTGTACAACCCCTTTATAAAGCATAATCTGTTGTTTACTGTTATGAAGCGGCTTAATACAAAACATCTATCTTTAGAGAGAAGTATGAATGGGCTTTCTTTTTGTGAAACCACAAAAGGATGTGTGGAAAAACCCCAGATCGACAAAAACACTTATATTGTGGAAATTCAAACACTTTACTATGTCACACACAAACCTATCAGTGCATTATAAAATTTTAAGAGAGGCATACCAGTGTATATACACACACATTGTACCTTAGACATACACTATAAGTTAGCATACCAAGCATTCCTTACGATAACACTTGCAATGCTTATGAACCAAGATTAAAACCGACTTCCCATTTACTGGCGCCTTAATAACTAAACAGTAAAATCACTATTCATGCAGCAGCTAAAACACCAGGGGGGGTTGCTGCCTGTAACATTGGCATGCTAGCCCCAATGAACACAACCAATAAATTATTAATTGAAGAAAGCTCAAAAGTACACAGTATAAATCAACAATTACTGTAAAATATAGGTTGTTCAAATATTTAAAACTCAATTAGTTAACTGAGCTAACTGCTTCTTAATGCTAGCTGCAGGGCATAGGAAATCTGAAGTATTGTTCACATGTTAACTATACAGTTAGCGAAATTACACTGTTCACTGAATGAACAGACGAGAGTGGACAAGTCTAAAGCAAGTACCGGTACCTGTAGGGCTATTTCATTTCGTAATTCTAATTAGAGATTATTGCGGGATTCGAGCCTGGCGCATGCGTAGATCAGTGAGCGAAGCGCAGTGTAAAACTAAACTGTACATGTATATTACCATACTATTTATCTGTCAGACTTAATATATTTGATCAGACATAATGCTCTGTCCATACGGAACTATCAAATTGTATGACAAATTTGTGTGATTTGCCCATATATGGACATTATGATGTCACATTATTACACCCAAATATGGGCATTTCACAATTATATATCGCATAAAATTTGATAGTGTGGACAGCGTAATAATAAGTTTATCTCCAAGAAATATCAATATTATAATACTCTGTATACTTGTTTGAAGCTGAAAGTCTGACCAATGCTGTTGGTCAGACATTAAGGCTGTTACGATACACTGATAAAAATATGGCCTCTTTTATGTGATGAATAACAATCTAATTCCACAACACATAAACCAAGAAACACATTCAACAATGCTTTTTTATGAAGTAACTATCAATAATCATATTTATCTAACTATACATTATTTCTAATGGCCATGATAGTAATAAAAAAATTATGTTTACTTTATCTACAGTACTGTATAATGCTATCTATTGTGCAAGTATTTGTTATGCTACACAGTATGTTAATCATTGAGGTCCGAATTTTCAGGGATATCATAATATTTTGTGGTTCTTTATCTAAGTGGTAAATGATTGGGAAGGACATGTGAAAATCCTTGGATGAATAATAGACAAGGTGCTACTGGACCCAGTAAATCATTTCCATTCCATAATCATTTAAGAACCATTAATGAACTATTTTAAATATGAAACTTGCCATGCCAAAACAAGCATAATATGTCTTTATGTTTAAAACATGGCTATTTTAAGAGTAAGTACAAAAGCATAAGACTGTGGCAGTATTATACACATTAGGCCCAATAAAAAAATTATTAGTTTATCACCCTCGCACGCATGCCTTTTATGGTACTGAACATTTTTTTTTTTTTTAAATGTTGAAATTTTTTTTTTTTTTTAATTTCATTTATTTATTTTTTTCATTAATATTTTATTAAATAGTTAGTAGATATTGTTTGCATTATCTAAATCATGTTTTACTTTGAATATTAATGCACCAGCAAACAAACCAAAGGTTATATTTGGCTTTAGCAAAATAAAAAATTTTAAAAAAAAAGCCTCCCTCCCTCATCACTTTTCCTGCCCAGATGGGGTGATAAACTAATAATATTTTTTATAGGGCCTTAGTACAGTGAAGTCATAATACTTATTTTTTCTCATCTTTGGCAATAGTACTGTAAGTCGATTCCTGTACTGTACAGTATTTTGGCCTATATCATGTTAAAGCTTGCATGTATAATGTGGAGATTATTAAAAATTAAAGTTTCTTGTTTTGGTCATGGCAGTGCCCATATGTTGTGCAAGGGGTCATCTGGGAATACGAACTATGGGAGGAAAAGTTATTACAGAGTACTATAGTAGAGTACAGTATGTAACATTTTTAATAATTTTAAAGAAAAAATAAGCAAATCAAGCTGAGAGAAGGCTCAAATAATGTGTAAAGTATAAATTATTGTATACATTAAATAGTTAAGAATGTCATTTAATTTTAAGTACAGTAGTTTTCTTGGTATACTGTATGCCCACCTGGGGTATACGGTAAGCCCACTCCCACTTTATACCCGATTTTACGTACAGCCATTCCTCGGCTAAAGTCCCAGGGTACTGACTTTAAATGAGTACTGTACTAACGTACAGTAGTGTAGCTTACAGTAGCTGACTTTCACAAACACTCTCAGAAAATATCAACGACTGGAATGCTAAAAAATTGCCTCTTGATTGAAAAGGAGATTATAGTACCTGGGTATATAAGTCCACCCCTCAACATCAGCACAATTTTGTATTGAAAAGGGGTGGGCTTATTATACAGAGGAACTACGGTATTTATTAAATTTATACTGTAACATAAACCTTTCCAAACATTCAAACTACCAGAAAATTTGATCTTTCTGAAGTTAATTGATTAAATTTTTGTAACCGGAAATTCTTAATGACAACAATACAGAATTATAGATTAACCAAACAGTAATTAGTACTTTACCAAAACCAATTTACAGTTTTTCTGTGAGAGATGAATGGAATTTCTGGAGTCATAAAACAACATTTTATACCATTCAGTAGCTCAGTGGGTAACCAAACTTTTTGAATATCAATTACTCACAGAGGGGTGACTATATTGAACCCTAGAAGGTACTAAACACACCGCAACAGTAACAAGAACCAAACAGCATATAGTATATGCCACTCCCATGCTTCCTTAATTCCGAACCAAACGATTGAGAACAATTCATACATTCCATAATTTCATTCTAAAAATAACATTCTTTCAGTTACCCTGTACTATTTGGTAAAAAGATATTTTAACAGTAAAAACACTGTTTCAAATAATAAGGCTCCATATGTTTTTTGTTTTCAGCAATTTTGAGGGGTGTTTCCACAACTCAAAAACCCCAGGAAAATCCTACTTTACCGAAAACCTCCATCAGATGCCATCAATTTAAGTTTGTAAAGAGAGACATCATAATTTTGAATATCTTGTTTCAACGACAAAGTTCCAATTAGTGTGTATTATTAGTGTGCCTAACTGTTGGCCTGTACGGCAGCCATAAATACGATGAAAACAAACTTGGGCCTCACCCTCGTAATAACTTGGAAGAGAAACATATTAATTTTTCTTAACAACGTTTAACCTACTGTAATAGCCAAACTAAACTGTAGAAAACATAATTAAATCCGAGGTACTAACCTTCTGAATCAATTGTGAATCGACCAAGACCACTTCCATTTCGGATAGAATATGTAACCTCTCCATCTCTGCCACTATCCTGATCATCTGCTGTTACTTGCATCACGTATGTATTTATTGGTACATTTTCTTCCACGGAACCATTCACATAAAAACGATTGCCGAACGATGGCGCATGCACATTTTCATTCACGTCGATAACTTCTACTTGCACGCTACATGTTGCTTTCTTGCGAGGTGAACCACCATCCTTCACCTCAACAAGTAAACTGTAAACTTGCTGGGTTTCATAATCTAACCTGTCGGCCAATCGAATTGTCCCCATTAACGGATCAATGACGAACTTGTCATCTCCACCTTTCTTCAAAGAGTATGTAACGTCACCATTTTTTCCTTCATCTTCATCAATCGCCTCTACATCAATAACTAAAACACGAGACGGTAAATCTTCCAGCATCCTGACAAAGTAATTTGGAGGTATGCATCGTGGTGCGTTATCATTAACATCCTGTAGAGTTACCGTAACAGTGACGGTACTCGATAGAGGAGCACTTTCTGATGAATCCGTCGCAACAACCCTTAGTTCATGGATGGGAATGGATTCACGATCTAATTCCGATGCTACAGAAATGTCTCCATTGGTGGTATCAATCAGAAAGTTATCATTGTCAGTCTGAATGCTGTATCGAATTTCCCCATTGCTGCCAGCATCAGGATCATTTGCAGAAACGCGCAAAAATATTTCACCGATATCAACGTTCTCATAAAGTTTCTCGGAGTAGTCCTCTGTAACGAATGTGGGGCTGTTATCATTAACATCAACTATGTTAATTCTGATATCTTTCTTTTTAGTTTTCGCTTCCTTACCAAGATCAGTGACTGTAACTGACAGATCGTATGTTCCAGTGCGTTCCCTGTCAGGTGGCGTCAACACACTAAGCACGCCAGTATTATGATCCAAATGAAACGGAAAGTCTTCATTTCCCGAAGAAATTGCATAAATTAACTTTCCATTAAAACCAGGGTCTCTGTCACGAGCCTTGACAATCACAATTGTGCTCCCTTTTGGTGTATTTTCAAGCACATCAAATGTGCTTGGAAACTGCTCATCAAATTCTGGTGTGAATTCGTTACGGCCAAACCGCTCCGTAAACTCGTTATTAGGCTCAACAATCTCTTCATTAGCTTTAGTTGACTTTGAAATCATGTCAGTGTGTTTAGTAAGCGCATCGGATGATTCGCAATTGATCTTAGCATTTTTCCTACGCTCGTTTCTGTTCGCATTTCGACCATTTATAATTGACATGTTTACCCAGAGGTACCCAGCTGACCCTGGTGCATCAGATGCCATCAACTTAAGGTTGTAAAGAGAGGGATCTGAATTTTGAATATCTCGTTTCAACTTCAAAGTTCCAGTCGTTCTATCTATTGCAAATAATTCACCAACATTGCCTCTGGCAATAGTGTAAGTTACTGGATCACTATCAAAATCGATGGCGGAAAAGACACCAACCTGATTTCCACTACGAATATCGCGTGAAATTGTACCACTGCAATAGGCCTTCTCAAACATTGGCTTGTTGTCATTTGTTCCCTGCAGTGAAATGATCACATCAACTTCTGTTTCACGTCGAAAGGGGGAACCCCAATCAGATGCTCTTATATGAAGACGGAACTCTTTTCTCATAACTTCATAATCCAATACCATTGTAGTGTTTATCTGACCAGAAAATGAATCAATTTCAAATGGGACTGATTCAAGATTTGCTATGCTGTATGATACAAATCCATTATCGCCGTTGTCATCATCAGTCGCAGATACACGGATAACAGGGGAATTTGCAGGAAGATTCTCTTGTACCGTTGTTTGATATCTATTTTGTTTAAAAACTGGATAGTTGTCATTCTCATCTAATATTTTTATACTGACATATGTTTGGTGGGATGGATGATTGGAAGCACGAATTGTAAGATTGAAGTTGGGAATTCGTTCGCGATTCAGTGTTTTAGCTGCCGACAGATATCCATTTGAAGGGTTAATCTTAAAGGAACCACGCTTGTTTCCAGCCACAATGTTATATTCTGGACGTGTTTTCACATCAGAAAGAACCTGTTCTGAAGCAACTGTGAAAATTGGCGCATCCATTGGAATCAGTTCAGATACTGTAATATCAAACAATTTTTTTCCAAAGTACTTAATTTTTCCATTGCTTCGTTCAACTGTTATCTTCTTTGAGGAACTTTTAGGGGGATCTCCAGTATCTGTGGCTACAACAGAAAGAGTGAAAATCAATGGCATATCACTTGGAAACTCTTTTCCAATTGATATTTGATAGGTGCTTTCAGATTCATCATCTTTGTTGATATTGAAATAATCACTATATTCACCGGTCAAAAGTACGGATTTGATTCCACCATTATCTCCAAGATCGTCATCACTAACAGTGACAACTGCTATCACTTTTTCCTTTCGAGAGTCCAGAGTTAATATTTCTAGAGAGTCAACTTTAATGGTGGGAGGAAAATAATTGACTTCTAAAATTTTAATATTGATTGAAGTTGTACTGGTCTTGCTCGGAGCAAGAGTTCCTCCTCGGTCTTGTGCGACAATTAATAGCGAATACTCTGCCTTCTCCCGATGCGGTCTTAAAGGTCTTGTTAGAGAAATTCCACCACTGGTTGGATGGATGACAAAGTAGTCTGTGTCATCCAAGAATTTATAGTAAATATCCGCATTTGTCCCAGAGTCAGCATCACTAGCCTGTACTGTGTAGATAGTTGTCTGTACCGGTGTGTCCTCGCGGATGTTCAGTGGCTCTGATGATCCATGGAAGATGGGTCTTAAATCATTGATGTCTTCAATCGTAAGCATAATCCTAGTTTCTGCCTCCAACAACGTGCCAGATTTATCTGTTGCTCGTGCTTTAACACGCAAAACCCACGAAGGCCTCCGTTCCCTATTCAGTGTGGTTTTAGGGTGGATTCGTAGAAATACAAAATCTCCAACTTGCCGAGCGTTGTCGGCTTTGAAAGTTTTTGATTCTTCTCCCATGATTGTGTAGGCAATTTTTGTAGCCAATTGTAAATCAGTTACATAAATGCCCATCTTACTCTCTGATGTTATGTATAGAGATGTTTTACTGGTCTCGTCTATAGATGCCTTGTAAACGTCCTCAGTAAATTTAAACTGTCCCGTCTGGGATTTGACAATCACCACATTTAAGAGCAACACTACAACAAGGCTCCACATGATTATTACTTGGTGCTTCATTCTAACAGTGTTAATGTCCAGAATAGTGATATTCTTTCTTCTGTATGATCAACATGAAAGGTGATCTTCAGAATATTTTTTAATTCACATAATCTGTAAAAAAAAAAAATATCCAAATAATTGAGAGGCAAATTTACAATTAAACCAATACCGGTCTCCCTCTAGTTCAAGACCATCCAATTAAAAAGCACCTCCAATTAAAGACCATTCTTCTGTGATCCCAAATAAACAAATGCTTTTTTATTTTATTATTCTAATTAGAGGCCAAAGCTCCTACTGTAAAAACCATGGAAAGCCGGGACCCAGAAGTGGTCTTTAATTGGAGATGGAGAGAGACCTGTAAAGTAATTTCAATACATTTTCAATGATAAAAGTATTTACTGAATAACATTTTGCATGTCATTTGTTTATGATTCATTCATTTCATTTTTAAAGTACTGTACACCTATTGAGTGAAAATCGGAAGCTTGTCTTCATCCCAAGATCATTGGGTTCCACTTTTGTGACTGCATGACTTTTTCTCATGACTGAAAACTCCACTCCACAAGCATCATAAAGAGAATCGGTTTATAAAGTATCGTCCACGTTTTTATTATTGGCAAAGTTGCTTGAGTTGGATGCGAACAAAATTGTTATAAAAAAATGAAGGCCTATTATTAGCCATACATTTAAAAAAAGAAAAAAAAACAAAGAGTGTTAATTAATGGGGAAACCAAAGAGTGTTAAGACCACTTGGCCTCAAAGCTCAGATACAGCTCAACAGTAATCAGAAGATTTTTGGTTCGAATCCTGATTGAGATACATTTTACTCAGAAAAATAATTCTTACTTTAAATAGCAACAGACGTTTACTAGGTATACATTGTTTGCACTTGTTACTGTACTTATATGGTTAACAATGAAGAATTGAATTTTCTGACATAATATTATGGTTAAACAATAAACATTGAATTATCTGATATATAATGACATTTATAATCTGACATTTATGATATGTAAAATGGATCATATTTCAAATTAAATAAATCAATTACACTGAAATTATAGATTTAAACTTCACATTTATGTTGATGTCACCAATTTAGTTTTCTATAATTTCTGTTCAGCAACTGGTTTGTGTTGCTTCCATCCAGTGCACCCTTTTGGCTTTGCAAATAATTTACAACTGTGACTAGGCCTACTCTACTGTAAAATTTTAAATACCCACACCTACCATAACTAGATCATATTATAAGTTCATTCAGTGGTCAGCTTCTGGTTAAATACTATAACTTACTGATTGTACAACGAGTGTCCAAGTAAATCTCTACTCGTGAGGAATGAACATTTTGTCATCCTCTACTGCTATTGAAAGTAACCAACCTGGACGACACAGGACCAACGAACAGAAAATGTAATTCACTTCAAAATCAGGTGGCATTAAATAAAAATAAATCTAGAATTATAGTCTAGGACTATGTCCACTTACCACCAATCACAAGCATATATTACTTGGCGTATGCCTAGGCCTAGGTAGACCCAGTAAAAATACAGTATAAATTAGATTGTATGTTCAAAATGTATACTACTAGTACTATACTACTTCTACAGACAGTCATGCTTCTACTTTGGGTACGATGTTGCATCGATCATCTGTTTACCAAATCTGCCTGTGTGGCGGTACCAACAAAATTAAGAGTACAAAATATACAAACGATAGAAGCAGGAACTTACCTTACTATATTACATCATTTACAAGTAATGAGTGTCCTTGCATATACAGAGAAACGAAAATTATTCCAAATTCACCTAGATAAACTCTCTTTTAATGTCCCAAATCATTTAGATAGCAGAGCGTTAAAACGTCCTGACGCCGTGCACGCGATAAAATGATCTCTCGAGATTCTGTGTTTACCAGCAGCTGACACAAACTTAGTAACTCAACTTTCTAAAGATTTACACATATTCATCCGCATAAGACAACATAGTTCGGGCATAAAAACCTCTGCTATATATTTCCTCTCGGTAATTTACACAAAAATAAAATGCTGTATTACATTAGTATGTAATAGTTTTTTATATTGATAATTTTATTAGAATCACACTGTATTTAGTTAAAGCGTATTACTATTGAAATTCACTAAACGTGTTCTGAGGTAGTCAATCGATATCCTAAATATTGGTGGCGCTTTTCATCTAGCAATTAGCATCAAAATAATGTGAAGCAATCTCTTGCGTCCCATTTTAATAATCTTTTATTTCCTGTGTAGGGCATCTACGTAAGTGACAGAGAGATACTATATACGTTTCTTCATCTAGTTGTCAAAATCTAATCCAGAAGTAATGATGAGTCGATAGTAATCGCAACGTTAATCATGGGGATGTTAGTTTTATACCGGGTGGTAGGGAGCGCGCGTTGACGAGGTTTCAGGTTAATCATGATAATTTCATTTACAGTAGGACTAATTTCATTTTTTTATGCAATAATTAGGCTATAGCCTATTTACAATAGCGATAGACCTATATTAAAATATACATAAAATACAGGTAAAATCTGATAACATTTAAAATAATCATAGTGTAGCTCCTAATAAATTATTATTTTATTATTAGGCCTATATAATTTAGGGAAAGAAATAGCATGATTGCAAAAATTAGGCTTGAAAATTATATAAATTTCTAATTGGTAGTTGACTTAGCGTCTTTAATAACATAACCGGGCAATTAGCAAATTTATATATTATTAAATAGTGTGCTAAGGATTATGATGGTAATCTTTGCAATCATTAACTACATTAAAGTCATCGTCGTCGTCATCATTATATATATATATATGCATGCCTATAACAATTCAGTCGTACATTTACAAGACAAATATATACACTTCATTAAATATAGTTGATATTTAACTATGTCGTAAGAACATGACAACGAACTCAATTAACCCCAATCCTTTTGAAAATCGAAACAAATATACATTAAAGAAGTCATGAATGATAGAAGACAACCGAACTAGGCTGATGAATTCGTCGAGAGGAGATTTAAAGACCAGGTAATTTATTTGGAAAGTGTGAAATCATAAGATGCGTTGCTACAGCAACTGCATGCAAGACTTTATTATGAACGTTTGTGCTGTGATGGCTATATCATAAAATTACTATGAGTACATGTAATAATATATGGTACATGTGTGTTTGCATTTGCTGGAAATATATCACAATAATAATAATAATTAAATATATAAATAATAATAATAATAATAATAAAATATAAGAATTCAAAAGATAGTACAAAATACAAAATACTTTAATACAAAATAAAAAACAGAAATTTGTTTCACACTGACATGAAAAAGTACATTAGATTCGCTACAAAATTAATAATACTTATACACAAATAATAATAGATAATAATAATGGTAATAATAATAATAATAGAGATAATAATAATAATAGAGATAATAAATAACAACAACATCAACAACAGCAGCAGCAACAACAGCAACACCACCACCAACAAAAACAACAACAATACAGTTCGGTCTTCAATTAGAGGGCTATCTTTGTGTTGAAAGGTCGAAGATTGTTATTTTGGTCTTTGGAAATTAATTTCATTTTTTTATGCAATAATTAGGCTATAGCCTATTTACAATAGCGATAGACCTATATTAAAATATACATAAAATACAGGTAAAATCTGATAACATTTAAAATAATCATAGTGTAGCTCCTAATAAATTATTATTTTATTATTAGGCCTATATAATTTAGGGAAAGAAATAGCATGATTGCAAAAATTAGGCTTGAAAATTATATAAATTTCTAATTGGTAGTTGACTTAGCGTCTTTAATAACATAACCGGGCAATTAGCAAATTTATATATTATTAAATAGTGTGCTAAGGATTATGATGGTAATCTTTGCAATCATTAACTACATTAAAGTCATCGTCGTCGTCATCATTATATATATATATATGCATGCCTATAACAATTCAGTCGTACATTTACAAGACAAATATATACACTTCATTAAATATAGTTGATATTTAACTATGTCGTAAGAACATGACAACGAACTCAATTAACCCCAATCCTTTTGAAAATCGAAACAAATATACATTAAAGAAGTCATGAATGATAGAAGACAACCGAACTAGGCTGATGAATTCGTCGAGAGGAGATTTAAAGACCAGGTAATTTATTTGGAAAGTGTGAAATCATAAGATGCGTTGCTACAGCAACTGCATGCAAGACTTTATTATGAACGTTTGTGCTGTGATGGCTATATCATAAAATTACTATGAGTACATGTTATATACGGTACATGTGTGTTGGCATTTGCTGGAAATATATCACAATAATAATAATTAAATATATAAATAATAATAATAATAATGAAATATAAGAATTCAAAAGATAGTACAAAACTCAAAATACTTTGTTACAAAATAAAAAACAGAAATTTGTTTCACACTGGCATGAACAAGTACATTAGATTCGCTACAAAATTAATAATACTTATACACAAATAATAATAGATAATAATAATGGTAATAATAATAATAATAGAGATAATAATAATAATAGAGATAATAAATAACAACAACAACATCAACAACAACAGCAGCAGCAACAACAACAGCAACAACAACAACAACAACAGCAACAGCAACAATAAATACAGTTCGGTCTCCAATTAGAGGGCTATCTTTGTGTTGGAGGGTGCATTGTAATAGTAATAACAATAATAGTAATAACAATAATAATAATAATAATAATAATAATAATAATAATAACAATAACAATAACAATAACAATAATAATAATAATAATAATAATAATAATAATAATAATAATAATAATAATAATAACAATAACAATAACAATAATAATAATAATAATAATAATAATAATAATAATAATAATAATAATAATAATAATAATAATAATAATATACACTACCAATTATAACAGGAATATGATGTTCCAGATTTGCCATAGGAACATGCGAGCAAAACGAGCGTAATTGACTAGCTTAAGGTCTTCAAATATTGAAATTGAATGTTTGAAGACCTTATTCTAAATGTGTTCCGTCTTGCTATACTTTCCACAATTTTTTCCTTTCTGTTCAAGGCAGAATGATTTGTTATGGTGTTTGAAGATCAAGGTATAAAATCGTGACAAAACAGGAAGAATTGATAAGTGCTTTGTGCCAGCATTGTAGTTTCCACACATGCCACTGATGCAGTGGCGTATCTAGTAGGGTGGGTGGGGGTGGGGGAGGGGGAGAGGAGCACACACTCTTCTAAAAAAAAATACGTGCATCATATTGAATAAATTTATGTTATTAAATGCTGTTTAATTATATGCCTTTAAAGTTTGAATACACACGAGGACTTATGCGGGGCCCTATACGGCCTATGATGTTTTGCCAGCCTATCCCATATTGTTCAGCTAATCGTTTAGGCCTATCACTCCCCACCCTTTAAAAAGCCTGCGCCCCCATCATTTCTCAACACATAGGCTACATAGAAAACTAGAAGGTCTAACTGAGTATAAGATAACTGAGAAGAAATTATACTCCAAATAAAGACAGACAAACAATTGTGATTAAAATTAAAAATGAAGGCCTTTTTAAATAGGCCTAATTATAATTGGCATTTACAGGCGATATATAATAATACAATTATTGAAATAGGAATTGAGTCCTAGACCTATAGGCCCTACTTGATAAAAAGTACGTTAACCCCATTCTACTGCTGATTTATAAAAGGCCAATGCCCTTCTAATGTCTATGGTAAAATTACGGAAACCCATATATTTAATTAAAAAGAATTATTGTTAATTTAAAATGATCAAACAAGTGTTGGAGGTACTGCGTCCTCTCGTGGGCCTCTAAGCAAGATCGTAAGGGAGGAACCAGAAAGTTCTTGCTGAAGCTAGCAAAATCAATAGACTTACTATTTGAAGTGGAAGGGGAGTGGGTGGAGTGCTCCCCACAGAGGGGAACAGCCTACAGTGTGGAACACAGGGCCCCTTGAATCCAGGCTTCTAGGCAACTTAACCTCAAAAGGATTTCATAATTAATTTTGAAGAGTCTTACTTCATGTTGTTGCAGTACTGGTATATCTTCCTCCTCCCTTGCCAATCCCACGACTGGAAAAAGACTCGTTTCGCCCCCTATGATGTTTGGAAATTTGATTTATAAAATTGGATGTTTGTTAACCTGTTTGTATTACAGCTTTTTTTTTTTTTTTTTCACGCCCGCATTTATATATTTATTTATTAATTTTTTTTAATGTGGCTATGCGGGGAATTGGGGCCTGGTGAGGATTTGGGGCCTGGTGGCGACACACTTTTCCTCTACAACCCTGGATCCACTACTGGAACGGTTGTTTTAATCAATCAATAATAACTTCGAAGCAGTACCACCGAAAGGAGGGGGAAGGGTGCAGAGGGAAATCTTACCTGGGGGCCCATAAAAATTTCAGGTAGCACTTTTTTCAATACTGTTTGCAAAAATATTAATACAAATTTTCTTTCATACATTCTTTCATATCATGGCCCCCTCAATATTGGCATGTCCCCTAATAATAGACCCCTTTATATTGACAGGGAATGGCTCCGGCGCAATCTTTCTCACACTTCGTGCCCGTAACTGGGTGCCCACACCTCTTTCCGCTGCTACAGTTCCCCCTCTTGGCGGCCCTGCGTCGATGTAAGCTATTTAAATAGGCCTAGTATTATAACAACTTTTTTGTACCGTACTGTACTACTATTATCACAACCAGTAGGCCTACCATAGGGCCTACATATCTTTTAAGGATAAAATTGGAGCAAAAAAACAGTTTCCATGCATGACAAAGAATGAATGCATATTTCGTAATAACATCAATATCAA